TTTTTTTTTTTTTCTTAAGTGCCTATATCCTTGTGGCTGTAATTCATTCAGCTCCAGACAGTGACCACTGAGATAACACCCACAGATTAACTTACAAGGAATCTTCTTAAAGACCATGTTGCACATGAATCGCTGGAACCTTTCGGCGTAGAAGCTGGGCCTGTGAACCGACACCGTGTCCTGCGAACAACGACACAAAGGCCAGAGTCACCCCGAGAAGGAATCGCCAGGCGGAAAGTCAGGACGATGCCTCTCGGACGCCACATCAAAGAGACAGGTGTTCCTCCCAGCCGTGGCTGCCGATTTCTTGCCTCCTCTGAGACCTTCTGAACCTTGTCCTGATCCTGGAGGACGTGACAGGCATTTCGTCCCCCCCTTTTAAGGGTACCCACAGGTCTCCCTCGTCTGCCTCTCTTTCGACTAGATGGGAGCTTGGACTTGAAGGGGAAGGTCGTCCATCCTCCACCCAGGGACCCAGAGAGCCCCCCCCCGGTCGGTTCAGGTTCCCTAAGATGCAAGTCAATAGAGCAGAATCCCTCACGACTGTCTTGGGAGAAAAGGGCCATCTGGTCTCCTAAAAAGAAGGACCACCAAGTGTGCTGAGCGTCGCTCTGGGTGGAGGACGGACGTGGTGGGTCCAAGCTGCCTTTCCCCCTCATTTCAAGACGTTTTTCACTCTTAGAAACGGAAGCTGCCTCCCCAGCTCTTCCCCCGCCTGGTCCAATGCAGCGGCTGCCCGGTGCCCCAGAGAAACAGGAGCCGCACCCGACGCCCTGCCCAGCCGTCCCTCTGCTGGGAACATTCCTGGACTCTCTAGCTCTGGTCCGGGCAGGCAGCTGCCCTCCTTTTTGTGGGGGTTTTCAAACCGATGCTGGAGGGCCCTCTTTTCCGGGATGCTCTGAACTCCTCCACCAGGCCAGGTGTCCGGTCCAGTGACCTCTGGGGTCTCTGCCAACTCTGTACCTCTTGGCCCATCAACCACCGCAAAGAGGAGGCAACGCCTTGCTTCTGCAACGTCCCTCCTCCTCCTCCTCCTCCCCTCCTTCCTTCCTTCTCTCTCCCTCCCTCCCTCCCAGGCTCCTTCCCTCCCGGAAAGCTAAAGACATAAAAAACCACAGAAGGAAGACAAGAAGAGGCAGCGACTTTGAAGGCTCACCCCGTCGTGAACAAGCGCTTTCCATGAATGCTCCAGCTTCTTAATGAACCTGGAAAAGATTTGAAAGGTGGGCCCATGTCAACGCCCCATGCAGATTTTAAAATGAATTCAGTTTAGGGATTGGGGAGAAGCAGCTGTAAGGGCTCCTTCAAAGCAAGGCTGTCCAGGGTCCCCCCCAAGGGAAACCGAGCCCGGCCGCCCCGGCCTCTTTTCAAGAGCTGTCAGGACGGCGAGCCTGTCTCGTTGCAAAGGACCTTGCAAGCGAGCGAGCGAGCGTTCCCCTTCTGTTTTTCATTTACAAACAGCTGCTACTCTTAGTTCCCTAAATAGCTGACAAAATAAAGAGCTGTCGCTTCCAAGTAGCTTCACCCCCTTGAGACCAACCTGTGGTTTCCCTCTGGTCTCTTTCCAAAGGCATGTATTGAATACGCAGCAGCCACACGAAACACCGGCCTCACTCGGAGGTTAAATTCACTCCAATCCCCACTCTGGGTCCGGCTGGCTGTCCTGGCATCCCAGAAACCTTA